TGAGACGGCTGCGCCGGTGGAGCCTGAATTTGTTGTGTGTGAGGTGGTGAAAACCATCTCAGCCATTCGCAAAGAGCGCTAGCGCGACAAGAAAGCCAGGGTCGTGCAAGTTTTGAGCAGGAAGTGTCGTGTTGAGTTTTTCGAAGGCGAAGCTCGGGGAGAAACCAAAGATTTGCCCAAGGCGAGGCTGACAAAGTTTGCAGAAAATATTAAGCGCTTGTCGGCCGAGGACCCTGCCCCTGAAAGAAAAAAATCGTGCACGGGCAGAAGCTTTGTTTGGCACAGAGGCTAACGACATCTAGGACGACTGCGCAGCCAGAAAACGCTGAGGTCAGTGTTTTTGCTGCCATCTGCCGCTAATGAGCCGCTACCGTGACATTGGAAACCTAACTTTGGGTTGGCTTGGCTTTAGATGGCTTGCTTGGTTCTGGTGGGTTTCGTTGGACTTCGAGGTTCTGATATAATATATATATAGTTTTTGTGAGTAGTAACAAGTGCGCTACTAGTAACAAGTGGCAGGAAACTACTAGTAGCTATTTGTTACTAGTTTTTTTGTCGCTTTTGGGTGGCTTTAGATTAGAGGCCCTGCGCCCTCTCCCCGGCAACCGGGCCCAAAGCAAAACTAAACCACAGCCGAACTTGAGCCAAACCCAAGCACCCACAGCACCAGAAAACTATAGTGCTGGCTTAAACTTCCCCCATAGCGAGCCACCCCAAACAAATCCCAATACAAGGAACCACAACATCACAGCCCTTTGTTCTTTCAGCCGTTCGTGGAAGTGAAATATGAAGCAACCCTTCGCATCCTTCGTTCTTTCGCACTGCGTGGTGATGTCGCTTCGTGCTGTTTGCGGTCGTCGCTTCCGAGAGTTCAACGCGTCGGAACTTCGGGGGTGAACCGATGATACACCAATTCGGTGTAGGTCAAACAACGGAAAAGGATATGAATAGCTCAAGGTGACTGTGACTGACCGAAGAACTCACAAACAACGAAGGCGCGAAGGAAGAAGAGGCCAAAGGGAAATATAGGCACCAACTGCCAGAAGAAAACGGCCAGAAGGCGATGCTTGGTTCCCTTCCGTTTTGGACCCATCCCACTGCACCGAAAAACACGATGCCTCAGCCCATCGGACAGGTCTTGCGGCCTATCGAGCTCGAGGTTTAGCGACCCTGCAAGCCATCGAGATGCATGCGCCATGGCGAACGGGGATATGGCCCGTGGCATGCCAGGCTGTTTTCCGATTTCCCTTGACCAGCCTGGAGGGTAGGCCTAAATGTTCATGCCAATGTCCATTATATAGAGCCTCTTGGATCGAGCAGAGGCCTTGAGAGTGAGTATATAGATCTATCGATTTATGAAAGGTTTGGTTTGAAGACCGCGGGCCACGGGACCTCTGGGGGGCGCCATCGACAAGCAGAGCTTCCGAGGACAAACCCAGCTCCCTATGGCGAGGTCTGGACCGTCGCGACCGACAGGGCGACGCAGGCCAGGGACCGTTCGTGACCCCGTTGATGCAAGACGCCCGCGGGATCGCCAGCGCTTCAGACGGATGTTGCGACACATCTTTTGAAACAAATCCGGTGCCTGGATACCAGCGGATTTGAGCGGAGAGTGGAGTGGTGGTCTTGTAGGGAAATCTCTTAGATTCGCCAACTCCATGGGCCTTGCGAGATTTCCAGGAACTAAGATGAACCCACTACTCGCGGTGATTGACCACTGCCTGCAGAAGGTCCACCAAAAAGGGACACCTGGAAGACTCTCGCCCTAAGCCAATGCTGGGTGTGGTTGGATGGCGTGCGCCTAACAAGCACTCCCCCAAAAGTTTGTAGAGTAGCCGCTAGAAACACCCCACACCCTCAGTAACATCTTCCAATTGGCTCTCTAACCCGCCCCACGCGGGCTTTTCCGAACCCCACCTTCTGCGGCGGGGGCGCCGTATTCCGCTCGCCCTAGACCGCCCGCCGAGCTACCGCTGCGTACCGCTGGAGGCTTGTCGGCGTACCGCGCCCATGGCCTCGCCACCCTGCAAGCCATGGAGGTGCCCCGGTTCGATGGCCTCGGTCGGCGGCGCTGGGCGCCCCCCGGCGGTGGACACCGGCCGGAGGGTGTCCGGTGGGGTTCAACACCACCGGACCGGTGGGTTCCGCCAGCAAGGACGCAGGACACAGAACGTAAAACGGAGATCCGTGTCACGATGAATGGGAAGAGCAGATGGGTGTGGGTGGGCGAGTTCGCCACCACAGACGCAACAAAAAGCACCGACCGTGTTGAGCAGTGGTTTTTAGGAGTGGAGGTGTTCATGGACCATCCCGTCATTCCCTACAGGGTGCCGACAGGTGATCCGACAGGATCGAACGTGGCAACCGTGATGGTTGCCAGTCCGCGCCCATGTTCGATGCCGTGGTCATCTCTGTTTTTTCCCAACATGGATCACATGTGATCACGACCAGATGCAACATGAGACGCTTCAGTAGGTTTTCCTCCACACTAGACATTCCTTTTTGCAACTTCCAGTGATGGGCCGAGCTGCTCTGGTCAGAGGCGGGCTATGAGGAGGGCCCCTGGGCGCCGGTCTATTCCGGCCGGGCTTCCTATTCCGGAAAGGTCGCCGAGAGAGTGCGCTCGGACGTAACAAAATTCGGCATGAACTAGCTGTCCACAATTCAATTCAAGTGCTGCAAGTGCTATCCAGCCGGCTACATGTGCTTCATGATAGCAACCCAGTCATGTAAGATTCGGTCTTTAAGACCTTCCTGCATTTTACACCATTTCTCTTTTTTTGCCAACATACGTCAGAGCAAATTCTTGATGCACATGATGGGAGTGACCTGAGGGAGAGAGGCACTCCTCTTTCCAGAATACGCTCAGTATTTGGATTATTTTCTGCCAACCTGGGCTTTGGGATGGCTCGGAAGGCCAAGAATGCATTCGCAGAAATTGTTTGAAGCAAGGTAGTTTGGCCTGTGTCTACTTCGAACTACTTCATTTGTAAGTGTTGGTCTTGGGGCCCTGCTGCTGGATCCTGCCAAGGTGTTGGATGGTACAGCGGGCAGCCAGAGGTCAGGTCGCTGGTCTTGGGTGGATGTGGTGGAAGTGGAGCCTGCAAGAGGACAATGGTCGGACAACGCATCATTGAGACTCCCCGCACCATGTGACTATGCCCAGCCCTTAATTAAAAGGCTTGAACAAATGAATCCATTGGATTCTGGAGTTGGTCATGTGGATCCCTCGATGACAGGGATTGGTCTCTTTGTCCGGGGCCGACGCATGTGGCCCGCAACCCGGCTCCACCGACTTGTGGCCCGCATAATTGAAAAAACATGGAGCACGGCTAGGGTCTGTCCTATAGCCTGTAACAGTCAGTAAACAATTATCACTATTTTTGAACAAGGCCTTTACGAACCATCATCATCATCATCATCATCATCATCATCATCATCATCATCATCATCATCCACTGTTACAGGTATCAGGATAGACCCAAAGCATAGCACTATTGAAGGGAGTCGATAAATTTCACGCTCCTACTGTCCCACTTGCTTGAAGGGGCATGTCGCTGCCGCTATGCACCAGTGTGTCCACTCTTACCAGTACGTGCCGTACGTGCGCATGGCCGGGAAGCCAAAATGAAAGTACAACATCAGCCATGTATATACAGGGAAAATCAATGACATGAGTTTTGGAGGGGCTGCCACCTGTTCTGAACACAGGCATCGCACCTAGTGGCGGGGAGGTATTTTGAGACACACCCATGACTCCCGAAAAAATCGACCAGCCATGACCAGCCAAAAGGCTTACAGTGGTTTCAGATTACATGGCACAGACCCCATGATGTCCTTTAGATGGGGGGGTTCATCCAAACCACCCAACTTGGGGGCCCTTGTGCGTGCCATTGGTCCTCGCAATCCAGTATATATCAACCAACTACTGCTGTGAAACTTTGCTCGTGGATTTCCTGTTCCATTGCTTGCACTGCCAGGCCGACTGGATGGCCGCAGGCGGCACGGCGGTTCTGGTACCTGCTGGCCAGGTGTCGATCGCGCAAGCACCGCAGGCCCGGAAGGAGAGCGTTTGGAAGGAGAGAGCACAGGCCTGCGGAAGTGTTCTGGGAAGATTCTGGGAAGAGCAAAAGAGACTATATTAAAAAAAACACCTGTGGTTTGAGGGCCTCCCTCTTCTAAAGCAGGCCAGTAGATACAGAAGGAATTCACCGTGGCTCCCACCGCGATGCATACGACCCAATGGATTTACTGTACCGGAAAACCACCGGTGCTCTCCGCCTCAGCTGGTCACCCGTTGAACCTCGTGCGACAGCTGCACAGCTCCTGGGGGATCGAATTCCGCCTGGTGGTGGGCCACCAGGAGGTCGCCATGGGGGAAAACTCGCGACGCCACGCCGCGCCCATGGTTGGCTCGGTGACCGTGAGCTTGCTGATTTGCGCCAGCCCATGAGTGCAACCACAGGGCCATCAAGAAATGGCCCGTCTGACAGCATCAAGACCCGAGTGCACAACGGAGGGTTCCGAAACTCGGAACTGGCCAAGTTCCAAAGCGGCTTCAAAGAAGGGTAGTTAAGGCTTTTCATGGTTTTCACTGATTTTATACTCGGGACCGGAGCATCTCATGATGGATCCCGTGCCAAAAGATGACTCCTATGGCAACAACGGACGCCTTGCGCTCAGGACGCGGCCATGGACGGGCGCCCCCTCTCATAAAGACACCATGAGGTCCAACTAGCGGATGCTCCACCCGCCCCCCAAATGGTTCGACTCAATGGGCTGTAGATGAACCTCATCACCATAGTCATAGTGCCATAGTAGAGAGGAGCTCCTTGAAAGGCTTGAAAGGTGTGTACGTCAAAAACATTGGTGAATGAGAAATCGCCCCGACAGACATTCTTTTCAACTTGTTTCAGGAATTGGTTCGACATTGTTGGTTTGTTCCATGAACCACGAAGCTTGCTCCCATGCACTTTGCGAAGCTTGGCCTGTGATGGACAATGAGATGCCTGTTGTGGGCGCTGATGGCCCAACTGCACAGCTCTTTGGATATGGCAGCGTTGCTTGGCACAAACAACCAGGTGCCATCAACCCTGGGTAAGTTCCCCCCTCTTCCTCAACGGGTACGTGTAAAGTTTAAAGCAACATCCCACCAAGCTTGATGCTCTGAAACTGAAAGCCTGTATTGTTGCCGCCAAACATCCGAACCCTAGTGTTTCGCTGGGCGATGACCTCCGGGAAGCCGTCCTCAAAGAACAGCCCACAGGACAGCAAGAGACTTGCCACGCCGTTCCTAGTTTTGAAGGCATTGCTGGATGGCTCCTTGGATAGAACAATTACCAGGATTCGTAGGTTTTTAGATTAATTAAAGAGCTATATCGGTTTGAGTTTCCTTCAAGAACCAAGGCCTGGTAGTTCCCATTGGGAGAACCCTCCACGTCCTTGGAGACTTCCCCCTACGTCCTTCAGACAGGCCTTGTTTGGGGTTCTCCCCACCATTTCCCGAGCTGAGCCTGGCAAACTGCTTCTTCTTCTGAGGCTAGAGAAGGACGTTTGGAACTCAGTTGTTTGTGTCGATTTCTGGAACGTCGGGCGCACGCCAAAGCACAGCGGCAAAGCAAACACCAAACGAGGGACGTAGGCGAGGTTTGGGCATGTCCGGGAAAAGAACCGCGCCCATTGAGCAAGTCCATGTCCGAAAACATCCATTCCAGTCCAGTGATCCGGGTTTCAAGGTGAGTTTTATTTCGGTTCATTTTTCACTCATTTGCACTGGCACTCGTCCTGCCTCTCACTGCTTGGACGACGGGTTTGGGATGTTTCGACCTGCAGGTGCTGCACGACAAGAACGACGATGCCTGGACGACTTCGACACTTGGCGCGGGCTCGGAGCGGGGAAGCATCCGAGACGTTGACGTGAAATCTGGGTTGAATCAACAATATGAATACCAGATACTGTACCCCCCATTTGGATCCATTTGGATTGAGACACCTGTTGTGGGGGGGCATGATTGATCAAGAGTCTACATTATGCTCATGCCTGAAGTCCGAAGGGGATGCTCACGGGTTTTCAGGTGAAGGCAGCAGGTGGTGACAAATTAAAGGCAGTTGCGGCAGATTTGGATCCCCCTTTTAGTGCTGAAGAACCTGTCACGCAATTTTTAGGTGTTCTATCTATATATCTACATATTTATCTTTCTATCTAACTATCTTTCTTTCTTTCTTTCTTGTCTATCTATCAATCAACTCTAATCTAATTCTAATTCTTATTCTAATTCTAACTCTTAATCTAATCTGATTCTACTTCTAATAATCTAATCTAATCTTATTTTATCTATCTATCTATATGTATTCAATTCCGGGCCGAGCTGCCCGACTCTTCGCGCGGTGTTCGGGGAACGGACGACGCGACGACGTGCATCGAGCCGTGAGACGGCAAGGGGGGTGACGAGAGGTGCCAGAGAGCCGCTTCTTCCACAGAGAGAGAGGGAGGGAGGGAGGGAGCTAGCTCAGAGAGAGAGAGGAGTATTTCTACATATTTTTACTAGAGTGGGCCTAGTATTAACATACTGTATGTGGGCCATACGTATGGCTTGTGTGCCTTCTTTTCCGTCCCGGCTGGCGTAGGACGAGATCTCGGCGCCCAGGTCCCAGTTCAAGCGCGACCTGGTGGCCTTGTTCAGCAACAGCTCTGAGGAACAGGTGCTCGAAGTGGGGGCCCACCTCGGCCATTGCACTCGACCCTCGAAGGAGGAAGGAGGAAAGATGAGGAAGGAGGGTGGTTTGGCAGTTTGGGAACTTGGGGTCCGTTTTGGTGGGTTTGGCGTCCTCTAGAACTGTTGGGTCCAGTCCATTTTTTGAGAGATTGAGCCCGAGATCTCAAAGTCGGATGAGCGCGGACTCTTGGAGCAGCTGCATTCAAAACGGCGGCACTTTCATGCCGATCGTTGGAACGACCGCGTTGTTAGGTCTAGAGTCGTCAGGGAAGAGTGCACACTAGAGCGCGCACTATCCGCAACTCCTTTGAAGGCCCCCCAACATGCTTAATTTTCACCACCAAAAGTGGCAACCACCAGTTGGAAGGGAACGACCTGTGGGAACGACGTAGCGGAACGGAAGAGGTTGCAACTCCTTTGAGGTCAGGGTCAGGGAACCGTGCCCAGAAGTCGTGAAGCCAGAACGGATGGCGGCAAGGATCAACAAAGAGAGATGGTTCCATTCATTCTTATGTCAGGGTATATCAGGGTCTGAACAAATGTACGCCACAAGGTGTTTGTGGCACATCTACCAAGTATCACAAAGTCATTACAAAGTTATCAAAGTTGTGTCTTGCCTCCATGCCCCCGTGCTTTGTTTGATTTCCTTGCTCCCCGAGCGCTCTTGAGGCGTTCTGGCACGGCTCTTCCGCACCGTGCTGGCACTCGAGCATTCCCCGCACGTGCTGAAGCAGAACGCCCAGCGGAACGCCGACCTGGCCAACGTGGTCTACTTGAGGCCAGCGGGTTCGTGGTGAACGGTGCAACGGGTGAGGGGTGAAGCAGGACCGACCTGGGACCGGCCGGATCCGGACATGTTTGGCCTACCCCAAGGGCTGGTGGCCTGGAAGGAAAAGTCTTGACCTTTCACTCATCCGCGAGAAGGAGATGATCAGACCTCCCAGATCTCCAATGGCCGCCTTCAATGGCCCCAACACAAACGCGGCCAAGTGGCCAGCTCTCCCACGCTGCGTGCACCGAGGTTCCACAGCGTCCTGGACGACTGGACGACGTTCGCGTCCACCAGGATCTCGGCGGTTTTCATCGACGCGGCCCACGACTACGCCAGCGTCCGGCACGACCTGGACAGGGCTTTGGCCTTACCAGAGGCTGTGGGTTTCGGGCGTCGGGGCGCCCGTGATAAACCCACCGGAGAGCCGAAGAAATTGGGGTGAGACGGTGGTTCGAAAAAGGAGGTCATGTCTCCGGACGACTGGAGAACGGAGAAGATGGAGAAGTCCGCAGGAGCCGGGTTGGTGCGGATGGTTGCTGTTTGTTTTGGCGTGGGGTTGAGCATGAACATGGACAGTTCATGAGGCTCATGCACCAAACCCAAGAATATAGCTAGCAAAAAACTTTTAGAACAATTTTAGGATATATGATAATCATGATATATACATATATAGATACACCGGACTGAAAGATTATTGAATGCCTGACAAAGACTACCATATAGAATGCCTGCCAGCATGTTGAGGTGTACCCGAGACGTGCCTCTTCAGAATGCATTGAGGCGTACCTGGACTTACTTGAAGGTTTTTGTTGTCTACCAACTTAGCTGAAAAGAGGTAAATTGATGTAAATTGAAGGAGTTGGGGCCAGTCAGGCCTGAATTTGAGGCCATGCAGAGGCTGCAATCCGTGTTGAAAAAGACCATGTCAGACTCGCCAAACAACCACCAAACCAGACTGGTAGAGCTGGCATCGCGTCCTATCTTTCAGTCAAGCATATTCAGGCATGAAGTTGTGACAGGCACACAGAGCAGGAAATAGATTCCAATGGATTAGGTCCCCAAATGGCCGTAGAATTGGGCTTCCCCAAATTTTGTTCTTGCAGCACTTTCCTTCCCATCCAGGGGCATTGAAGGATCACCCTACCATGTGCCCTCCAACGCGGGACCACCTCTCCAACGCCAGAACCAAATCCAGAAAATGAAACATGATTCAAAAAGTATAGCCCACGGACTCAACCAGTTGTCATTCTCCTTTCCCTTTCGCAGTCTGAAAATAACAACTTTCGCATCCCACGAAAGCGGGCACATGTACACCCCCGTTTCGGTCGAGCCGCGAACTGACTGTTCGCTGTTTCGGCACCTTTCGAGTGACGAGGGTTTTTGGCCGAGGTTTACATGTCCACTGTGCGCCAAACAGAAGTACCGTTATGATGGTTAACACTTAAAAATTCTCCCGACCAGCAACTCTTTCGCTGTGCTGCTGTCCGGCGTGTAGGGATTTAGGGCGATTTAAATAGGCCCATTGTGCAGCAGACGGCAACCTATTGACCTATTGTCAGCTTTCAGTGGCCAGCTGTCAATGCCTAGTTAATGTTTTGGTATGGCATGCGTGGTGCCCTTTTGGTCATTCATGCCAGAGGGCCTTGCAGAGGACTGAGGTCTTCGGACGGCCTACTTTCATGGTCAACGACCAGGAGTGTAGGGGCAGAGCCAGCCTGCAGGATGCATCTGCGATGACAGGCAAGTGGCCACCAATGCGGGATGCCCAGCCAGCTCAGATGTCATGCTGTTTGCGGGGTGGTGCCGCTGCAGTTGTGGTGTGAACTGGACTCTCTTTTTCTAACGTTTTTTGGCGGACCGTGTTGTTGAGCCAACTGTCACAATCACAACGCGTTCCATTGAGAGCTTGTCATGCAAGGTGCGAGCAGAGACAAGGATTGTTCATGCATAATTCCTGATGGCTGGGGCGACCGTTACCTGGTAGCAAAATTAATTCTGTTCCGAAATGTTGGGTAGTTAAAGTGTTGTTCGCAACCATTAAAGCAGGCAAGCCTCACCAACGGCCAGAGAACCTTGCCACACAGGTTCGGATCAGTGATGATCAATGATGATCAATGTACCGCGCCACCCTGCACCGTTCCTGATCAAATGATGATCCAAAGATTCCTGTGGTCCTGCATCGCTGGGTCTCCCGCCGTCCCCTGTGTGCTCGCAGGTGCACAGCATCGTGCTGGATGATTATGGCACCCGCACTGGAGTGCACCAGGTGGATGGTGTCCGAGCAGGGAGGGGGTCTGATCATGTTCAAGCAACACCACGGACATCCATTTTTGCTGAAAGGTGATGCGGCCCCCAATCCATTCTGAAGACCTGAATGGCAAGATTGATGGATCCCAGCGATCTATGCCCCTATGCCCTTCTCAAGGCTCGTAGCTCCATCCGGGCCATGTCATGTCATAGGCCTGAATTGGACCAGCAAAGCCTCCCCAAAGGTCCAAGGTCCCAAGGATCCTCATCCGAACCCTTCCTCAAAACCCATTGTTTGCAACCTGGATTCTTCCAACCTACGTAACATTTCCGCCTTTTGGCTGGTTCTATGGATGAAAAAGGCAGAACATTTGCACAGTTGGACCCTCTATTGTTTGTGGGGAGGCATCCTCCGTCGCCCTGCCACGTCGCAGGCGGTGCACGAGGTCCTGCAACTGGGCCAAGCGACGCTGAAACGCTACGTGGGCCGTGCGCCGCCCTGGTCCTACGATGGACGCACGGAGGCGGAAGGGCGCCCGGCGCGGCGGAGGTTCGAACGCGGGCTCCCGCGGAGCCGCGGAACGGGGGGAGGGTGGGCCCACTTCAAACCAGTCATTCCAAACAGAAACATGGATGTGAGTTCGGAATGCCATCAAAAAAAGGCCTGATGTGACGTCAAAAGCCTGCATGCCATTGACCGCCGTGGACGGGGGGATGCTTGGAATTGATCAGTCTTTGAACACATGGGATGCCGCAGCTGGGAAGTCGAGGTGTTCACGTCCCCCAGTCGCGTGCCTGTCGGGTGAGGTGCTTGACTGGGAGGGGGTGGTCTTGGAGCCAGTGAGGACGAAGAAGGAGGCAAGGCCAAAGCACGTGCCACGCGTGCAAGGCGGAGGTCATCCGCACGAAACGTGCGGGTGAAGCCGGGCCACTTAGAAGATAGACTTTCTCGCAAGTGGCCTGACGCCAATGGCTAGGACCATTTCCAATGGCCCTTACCAATGGGTCCAGACCATTGGGTCCAGACCAATGGCTTGTCCTTTCCTCCACGTCGGCCTGACGCCTCTGGCTCGAAAGTCAGGACCAAGGCGAGGTCAGATCGCTCCCCGACGAACTTGTAGGTGCGTGGCCATTTTCCACCGACCTGGGGCCTCAACCCATGATGAAGGGTTTTTGATGGTTGTGGGATGTGGTGGGCATATTCGCTTTTCAGTGGGTCCAGAACTTTCAAGAACCTCTGGTGCATTTTGGAGCCAGTTCCTGTTTGCAGGCCAACCCAAGACCTGCTGCTTTCGGACCACTTCAGTTTCCCAAGACGACTTGAGGATAGATCCTCCTGGCCCCTGTCATTCCAATGGGTTCTCAGGTTTTTTAATCAATCAGCAATACGACAGCAAAACTTGGGCAAGAGATTTGGCCGTAGGAAGGTCCAAGTGGATCTTCTTATCACCAGCAGGTGCACCTTTTCTGCCTTGCTCATAGTTGGGTCGGGCAACCAGGCCACAACAAAAAAGAGAAAGGTTGGTAACACTTTGGTCTTGTGCAGGATCTTCTTGTGGTTTGGTGCCTGGATCTTGTCTACCGTCGCCCGTCGGAATTGTGGTGTTCACAGGTGTTCCAGTTCAAGGATGTTGCTCACAGGGCACGGGATCAAGTATACCAGGATGTTGCGACTTCTCTGACCCCGCTGACGCATGATGACGCATGCATTCACCCCATCCGCCTGCGTGACATGCGCCCTGCAGGAGCCACCCCTGGCGCAGGAGGTGCTGGGTAGCTGGCTGGTCTTCCCTGCCGGGGTCTTCTCCACCGGACGCCCGGGCGATGCCGACTCGGCGACCGGAGACGAAGCGAAGGGCTGAAACGGCTGGCAGAAGAAGAGTCAGAGGATGACATACGACTCTCCCTGGAACTAACATGGAAGTGGATGGCACCACCTGTTGGTAGTGGATTTCATGGTCTTCTGAACTCGGGGCCATGGCATCCACGTAACCATGTTAGTTCCAGGGAGTGTATGGCCGGGCGTGTTTGGGCTTGACGCTTAGGCAAGCCTCTCGGGACTGTATGTGAGCAACAGCCAAGATTTGGGCTTGTGCACAACACTTGATGTGAGAGGAACTATTTCATTGAAATCACACAAGAACCCGTTAGTGAACACCCAAGAGCGATACTTTCACAACGTACACTTCAATCATCTTCAATCATTGGATTCAAATCTACTTTGCAACCTTGTCAGACGAAAGCTCTGGAAATCCGTTTCTTGCTTGGTTTTCCCTTTACATGAAGCGATACCAATGCGATACCCCTGGATGATCAAAACGTGTTCTAGATGAGCAGATCCCCTTTCGCTTCATTTTCGCGGTGCCTGTGGACTCTGCCACAGATGAAGAGCTCTAGAACAAGAACCGCATAGAAGGGGGAAGAAAGCGCTGATGTGTCAATGGAAAGCTCTCTCTCTCTCTCTCTGTTTCTCTCTGTTTCCCTCTTTCTTTCTTTTTCTTTCTTTCTTTCTTTTTCTTTCTTTCTTTCTTTCTTTTTCTTTCTTTCTTTCTTTCTTTCCCCCCCACTATCCATATCCATGTGCACTTCACTTAGGCTATGTGTTCAAAAGAAATCCTCGAGGAATATGACAAAGGCATCCGAAACACTGCAAAGCGATATAGCGAACCCCCAAAAGCAATACCAACATATGGAGTTTTGGCGATGGCTTAAGTCCTCACTGCCACCATTCCGTTGACCCGTCAGGCTTCCATTTTCTAGATGACATGCCTATACATGCCTCAACCCCCAAATCGCCTATAATCGCCTCCCCGGAGGATCGTTAATGAGTATATATGTCAATATATATATATATACAAGCGATGCATTATGGAGTCCATTTGCAAGTTCCTGCGGGTACAACCTAGTCTCCACGGCCCTTCGGCTCCTTCAGTTCCGAGGATACTTCGTGCCCCACGGCCACATCGACCTCGCCAGCACTCAGACGGGGACCAGCTCCTATGGTGCCTTGGAATGGAGGCAGGCCATCAGGCACCCGAGGGAGCAAGGGATGTCGCGAAGAAACCGGCGCGGGGCGAGGACTGAGTGTGGTGCTGGTGAGGACGATCGCAGGACGTTCACAGGACAAATGAATGTGGGTGGCACTTGCCGTCGGAGGAAGATGTACACACACAAATATAATATATATATATATACATACCACCCTTGGCCCAACAATGGCAGAACCCCAAGCTTGGGTTCAACCATCTGGGTTCGCATGGGTTCAATCGATTGTAATCAAGATTGATCGACGCAAAGGAATCGTTCGAGCAGGCTGCAGGGAAGGAATCGTTCTCAGAGCCCTCTCAGTGGGCTCTCATCGTGTTTTTCCGCCAATCTTCCTTCAACGATGGATTTGGCCGACGATTCCCCCAAAACGACGGTTTCCACTGCGGACCTTTTTTTCAGGTTCTGAGCTGAACCTAAGGTTTGGTGTCTCCCAGTCTCCTCTTGGAAAACGACATGAAAACGACTTGGACTCTGGATGACTTAGAAGGACTGCCAGATGGCGCGCGTGTTGGTGGCGCTGAAACCGCCGTCCTCTCCGCGCTTTCCACCGCTTTCCAACCGCTCCGCCCCGCGGTCCGGTCCACTCCGTGCAGGGGTGAGCTGGGCAGCGAAGAGGAAGATCGCACCTTGATCCTCCAAGTCTCGGAGCCGCCCTACCTGCGGATGCAATGCCAAGTGAATGCCGAGAGGCGCCGTTTGGTCGGAGATCAGCGCGATCAGCGCGTGGCGCGTGCACCGCGCACAGCCACTCTGGTTTGGGGGATTCGGGTTTTCCTAAGATCAGATTAGCTCAATGGCCCTGCACGGGTCCAATCCACCCTTTGATATGAAAGGATTCCCCTTCCCAACTCCCAACCGCTGTTTTAAGATGTTTCAATACTACGCCGACTACGCCCTGAAAGATCAACATGAAACATCATGAAACCGTTTCAGACCACTGGGTTGGTTCATTTTCAGGTTCCATCTTGATCTTCCCGGGTGTATGATATGCATTGATTTGAAGGTCGATCGGTGTGGACGATCCACCTCGGTCGGTGCTTTTCATATCTCCACGGGGGTGGAAGTGGTGGTGCAACCTCCCTGTTCAACCATCCGATGTCGAACGAAGTGGAACAACTTGTCAAAGGTATTTTTATTAGAAGGGAGAGCAGACATGTTTTCGAGAGCAGACATGTTTTCGCAACACTGACCACGGTCCCTTTGTGCCATCATAGCTGCCAAAGATGCTTCTCCTAACGTGTTATGACAAGGCGATATCCCACAGGTAAACATCGAGAACTGTGAGATGATCAGTCATGTTTTTATCAAAACATATAACTATATATTTGTATATATAGTTATAGTCAAACTACTACTTCAAAGGAGGCACTTAATCTCAATCCTCTACACTTTCAACATCAGTCATGGTTTGAACGGAGAGCTTTCCCCCCTGACTCAGATCTTGAAGGATTGTGTCCACTGAAGATGGACATCCAAAACATTGAATTGGGTGCCAGGAGTCTAAGAGCCTTCGGTACGATATGCTTCAGGGTCCATGGGGCCCATTGTGCAACAAGGTATGCCTGTCTACATGCTAAGACCTATTCAATGGAAATTGCAGGTGAGTTGAACCTGTTCTACTATGGGGAATCAAGCATGTGCCCGTGAGGGATGATTTCTGGAAAGCACGGGTGTGTTAGGAGAAGAATCCACTATTCCAGATCCTTCAAGCAGAACATCCTATGAATCAACTACAATAAAACATAGTATAAATATCATATGCGGTATTTCGTCGATCGAAGTGGGAATTCGATCATCCGCTGACGTTGTGTTTCACAGGGTCCCCGCTAAAGCCTCTGCTCCGAAACGGGTCGAACACTCAAGCGAAACGAGACGGATGGAGTCATGGCTGTCCGGACAGGACAGGCATGGCAATCTTGCGGAACGATGGGGTGGTCTTGGTGGCTGTCCGGAAGGATATGATGAGGGTGGCCTGAGATTGCTGAGCAGATGATTTGGGTTTGTCTCAAATCTGCATGAACCAAATGCTGGAGGAAGGGGAGCTAGCCTACACCCCCGCTACAGTAGCTGCAGTTCTTGCGTTTTTGAGACAGACCAATTTTTTATTCTTCCTTGCTGGAGAACCTCCTTTTCCAGAGTCCTTTATTCTTCCAAATGCCCGCAAAGTCCAAGGTGATCGGTGACAAGTTGCTCAGCTTCTTACACTGACCTGTCCAGCTTGTGACTGCTGACGCATCGGGACAAAAGGTTCGATGCGGATTGCTTGGGCAGAAAGGTAATTTGCTACAGTTTAAAGGATATTCAAGGTTGGAGGCCATCGCTAGTAGGTTGGAGGCCATCGCTATGAGAAACAAAGAAAGAAGAACACCATCCCTAGACCAGACGGTCTCATCCTCATGTTTGGCCGGTGGTGGCTCCAAGGCTCAGCCGGATGTGCATCCGGATGTGCATAAGCTATAGACTCTGGATGAATAAAAGACGAGCCACAGAAAGAGGCGTTACAAATCCAAGTGAGGCGCTGAACTTCATCTAAAGAGTCTCTTTATTTGTTCGGCCGCGGCGGACGGCGGACGGAGCGGTCAAAGCGGACGGCCAATTCCACCAATCGCGGTGAAGCAACAACGAATTGACAGGTGGGGTGGACAGGGCAGCCAATGTGCAGAGAGGCAGGGTGAGGTGGAAGTCCGGTGGGATGGAACATGATGGAACATGGTGGGACCAAGAACCGAGCCGGCTGGTTTCTTTGTGAATGGGCAAGCTGGCTTTGAGTTGTCCTCACTCTGGGACTCTGTGCAGTAGATTGAGGCTATCACAATTGGCAACCTTTACACGTCGCCTACCGCACGGAAATGTGCCGAAGCTTTGCTTCGCATTTGTTTTTTTCGCATCAGAACCGTCTCAAGATCGCGACAAACTTGTGGAACTCGTCTCAAAGGCAACTGTAGAAAAGGGATGTGCGGCAGATGCTTGGGCATCGAAAAGGTTTCGTTCTTTGGCGGCGAAACGCGGAGATTCGAAACGACAGACGCCGCGAGCGACCGCTGCGGAGGCCGGAGCCGCACCGTGCGGTGTAACTGTGCAGAGGTAGCGGCCAGCGTGACCGGAGCGGTCCCGTCCGAGCCACCGAAGAGTGTGGTTGAGAGGTTGCCTCGTTTGGTGGATGTTTTGCAAGATCGACTGAATAGACGAAGAAGAGAATCTCCGGGTGACCAGACGGTCGGCGCGGGTGAGCCGCCGCTTGAAGGCGGCTTCCCACGAAACGTTAACTCACAGGACATTGAAGCTGGACATCCGGTCATCGAATGGTGATCGGTGTTCGTTCGATGCACGCGGCAAGGGCGCACGTGAGTCAGGTGACAGTTGGAGGGGCAGTAGTTGTGGGCAGTACCCATGAATATCCACGAGGATTGGTACGGAGGGCAGCCTTGGGCTCCAAGAAGCTTAAGCCACGTTGCAAGCCTTGACACTGGGTGCAGACACGAGCTGGGACAGTGTTATATAAGGGGGGGACCCTGACAAACTATTCGCTGATGTTTCTACATCAGGAGGTGGGGGCCAAGTCCCTTCGAACACACCACATCACCAGCCTTAGTACCACTCCATGGTAGTGTGAGCCTCCTTCTTTCTTTGCAACCTCCGGAGTGTTTTTGTTAAAATGTGGTCCATGGATGTCCATGGTGCTTGGTGCTGGCTCTGGGTCACCCGGAGCCCCTTTCACCAGGTTGACCTCCCAGGTCGTTGGTGGGACAAAAACCGTCGGGTGTCCGGGTGCCATGAGCCACAGCCGTTGTCGCACGAGGTACTAGGCATTTATAACCTTAAATCTCACACGCACATATATATCTAAGCTATGTGGGTGTATATATATAATATATATATTGGGTGTTAGGCCATTGAAGAACTAAGAACTAAACAATCCCCACCTTCTAGACTTAGAGTTGTATAGAGTTGTGTATAGTGCTTTAGCCGCCGAAGGAGAAAAGCAAGGTGCTTTTTGTGACCCTATCGACACGTGTCGTTGCCGGGTGTCAATGCTACTGGTAGTTGCCACGGTCGCTGGTGACAGTCAGACACATCCGCCGGTCTTTTGTTGCTCCGATTTCGCAGCTGCCAAGCTGCGAAATCGGACACCAGACCAGGATGGGGGGGGCGAAAGCAGGTTTCTGCTATTCAAGACTTGCCACTGCGATCACACATACACACATTCACGCTGCAAGTTTTTGGTCTGATTGAATGCGGCAAGCTGCACCAGCGAACTCGCGGAACGGCGCCGGAGAACTGCCAGATGGGTTGCTCAATGGCGACCCAGTCGGAGTTTGGGGATAAGCAGACTTGACGGTGCTGCCGCATTCCTTGGGACTTGGACGTTGATTCATGTGGATGTGACGATGGGGTCAGGGCCTGAGATCCTCCCATGATTAGTTACGGTGTGTAGATGGGGTAGTGAATTTTCAGCCAGGGGTTGGTTGCAGGGAGCTTCCACCATGGACATCCAGGAAAGGCTTTCTTTTGGTGTCGGCTGCACTGGGCTTTTGCTCACCACCTCCTTGGGGGTAGACCAAGATCTGGGATCGCTTTCCTTCGAGACCAAGGCCTCCAGGCTCTCATGTACCCTTTTTTGGGGGGTGGATTTGAAGTGCGTGCGTTCCTTCCGGTGAGCGAAGCATCCGAACATGAACGATGGATTCATCATGATTCATCACATCGCCCAGTTCCCCGCGGCGTGCGGCGTGCGTTGAGCATGGAGAATGTGCGTTTCGCTGTTGATGGTTCGTCATCAGCTTCACGGGTCAGCTGCAAGGACAGCGGCCATGTGGTGAATCGAGCGCTTGGAGTGGCACAACAGGCGTAATGAGAACAGGTCCAGGTACCCTTGCTACTAGTAGCTTCTTGTTACTAGTAGCGATGGCCTCCAACCTACGTAAGCGATGGCCTCCTCATAGCGTCCTGGTCACTAGGTCCGCCCCCGTTTCATGTGACTTGGCCCTAAAGCCCGACCTGATCTTGACCAGCCTGTTGGTGTCCACCAAGCTGTCTGGATCTTTGGTGCTAACCTACTTGAGCTAATGAAGTCACCCCGCTCCGGGGCGCCGGCACCGGGGTGAACTCGCTAAGAACACCCAAGCTAGAGGCACCGGGTGGCTCAGATGGAAGAGGTTCTGAAAAAACCTTCAGGGATTGAGACCTACATTGGACAAGGCAGCCTTGGATGGTCTAGGAGCAAAAGACACCCAAAGAGACTCCTGACTAACTACGATCTTCGCTGCATTTTGGATCTTCACACCTTCCGTTTGAGCATCCGCGCGCTGGCAAAGTACCTCAGACGTGTCGTTCGCCGAAGAAGTGGATGGTTGGGAGGGCTTTGCCACCGAGGAGGTCAGCCTTCCCTTCAACCAGCGAGCATCCTGTGCTGACTAGTGACCAGTGAACTAGTGTGCTGCTAGTAATTGTATAGGTGGTTGCAGCAGTATTATTGCATCCGGTGTAGAATCCCAATCCAAACCCATCGAAGAGAAGATAAAGAAAATTTTGCCCAATGGTTATGGCGTCTTTCCGGAGGACACATGCTGATTTCAGTGGTATCACGTTCCTTTCTTTGGATTCTTCGCTAAAGGATGCATGGCGGGTATATAGGTAGATATTTAATATGTATACATACATATATTTATATAACACACTGTATTCATATGCATATTATATATATACATGTATATATACATATATGTATCCGGGATCTCCATACCCAGACGGGTCTCTTTCTACGCAGGCCGGGCACGATCCGTCCCCTCGGCCCCCGCAGCCGACTCCGCAGCCGACTCCGCAGCCGCGCACAACGGCGCCGTGACCGGGGCCATTTCACCCGGGTGGGCACGGAGGCGCCGTGTCCCGCGGGGGAGGGAGGTCGGTTCAACGAAGATGGGCACGGAATTCTAACTCAAGTGGTCTGACCGGAGAGGCGTGAACGCAAGTGGCCTGGGAGTGAACGCAAGTTGGAGTGAACCTGTTGGCATCCCGTACAATCATTTCAAACCTCTTCTCACCCAAGTTGAGGCAGCTGCTCATGGATTTGGGGGATGCCCCTCAACAGATTCAGTTGGATCCATGTTGGATGGTCCTTATGGTCAGTTTTGGCTGTTCACCATCCTACATACAGCTAAACTCTCACTGAGCTTTGTGACTCACTTTCTTCGTGGACATCGAGCAGCGATCCTCGCGGCTCGGATCGCGTTCTAGTGGGGACGAACAAATCGTTCCCATTTTTCCTTCGAGTCAGCCACCTAATTTTGGAGAGCCGAAAGCACAGCACTTTGTTTAGTTACATGGAATTTGGGGCTTGTGCAGCACTGCCCAGTTTCAAGATGGTGCAGTGGTTCTATCATGTTCTATCAGAATCCTGGATGGAAGAGGTTTTCAGATGCTTGTAGGTAATTTTACGTCCACGCCAAGTGTAGCTCACTGGGTCACATACATGTACATTTGGGGAGGGGTGTGCTCGTATACTCGTATATGGAAGAGTGTATCTCTTTGCAGAGTTAGATGATATGGGCATCATTGTTGCCATCATTGTCTTCTGCTTAAGGATGGCCTCGGTCTGGAAGGCCATGCTTTGGTGGGATGGCTGCTAATGACTTCTCAGAAGACCGTCATCCACGGATGTCCACGGCACTGTCTTTCGGCTTCAGGCCGTGAGCTTTTCATCACGCGGCAACACGGCTGGCCAGTTCAGGCGGACATGGTCTGGGAGGGCAGAGACCATTCGTCATAGGGAGAGTTCTGGGTAATATCATTTGTCTTTATGTTGGAGCCCTGCCAACTCGTAATGCATGAAGATTTGGGGCGTAGAACGCATGCGATCGTCTATGCCCAATCTTTTGGTCTGTGTGCTTCCTTCACGCCTTGGCCAAATTATGGGCCTGCTTAGTTCCTTTTCTCGCATTGCTGCGATATACGTTGACATTGCTGCGATGGCGTTCCATCCAATGCCGTGTTCACTCGTGCAGGATGTCGATCGCGCACTACATCAATCCCGAATCCGCCTCTTTCTCCGAGCTCTACAAGAATCGTCGCGGCTGCCGGTACACCCGGGGCTACTCCGTTCCGCTGGAGAGCTTCCGTGGCGTGGGTCGGATTGGTTTGGAAGCGTACGCATGGTGAAGCAGTGGGAGATGACATGAGATGACCTGGATAAGATGGATAAGCGAAGGATGCACAATTGCCACCATGAGCTGCAAGAGGGTAACCAATGTTTCCTGGGCTCTAAGGTTGGATGAGGAAAGGATTCCGATATCCCACCCTCTCCAATCTCAGTGCAATCTGCCTGCATTTGCAACCGCAGCCACCCTCTCATCCCGGGTGTTAATCCAACAGAGCCTAACAGATAGGGTTGGGCTCTAAACAGTCTTCCACTCCTCCAAATCTGAGCTTTCTTGTGTTTTCCCCCGGTCCCCTAATGGCCGTTTCCCACCCCAACACCGGCGCCACCTGGCGCGTGCCCACTCCCACATCCGTCGTTTCGTGGCCTCCGTCCAGTGCGTCCGGTGCCTCCGTTCCTGTCCTCGGCAGGAGGAGTTATCGGATCATTTGGACCGTGGGCTGATCAAGAGGAGGTCCAGCAAGGAGGCCCCGAACTGGGACGGCCGCTCGGGCGCAGAGCAGTGAGCGGTCCGCGGGGGTTGTTGAGCGGTCCGCGGGTCGGGGGTTGTTGCGCGGTGCGTGTGGGCCAGGAGCAGGAAGGGTAGGCCAGTTCGCAAGTGCCCTTGAAACAGAGGATGATATAGGAAGAGTATGGTCCTTCCTCAGCGTGTCCCTGTGGGACGGCTGCGTTGTAGCCAGGCGCTGCTGAGAGAGAGAGAGAGAGGAATGGTTTCTGTTTGGGGCCCCCAGTGTTTGATTTGCTAAAGTTCTATGATGTTTTACGGTTCTATGATATTTATGACCAGCTTATTCACCTCACCATCCAGTGACCATCTAGATACTGACATACTATGACATAGATATGCTAACATCATCCATTCGTGATTATTGAATGTTTTCTCGTTTGCGTTGGGGTGCCGACAGTCGTCTCTGAACTGCCTCGTCCGGGCGGTGCAGAATCGGTCCTGTAGGGGCCCGACCATGACGCACGAGCGCGACTGTGACGGGGAGCACCCAGTGGTAGAAATCCACGCGAGCTGAGAAGTGTGCGTGGCCACATGCTCTCCCTCCATCATGGGAGTGGACAATAGCCGCAAAGGTTCTGTTTGCTTCGGGGGAGGGTAGCAGCTTGTCATGCTTTCATTCTCCCAAAGGAGTCGCCCATGTACGTCCCATTGTGGTTAGTAGTCGTCCCTGACATTTCTCTTGTTTCTGACAAGTTCAATGGCGCCCGCGCTGACCGTGTGTGCGGCAACCCTGCACTGACTGCCACAAGCCGAGGCCTACAAGAGATCTTTTGGTCGCCCTTCTCCCTCCTGTTGGTCTTCGTGCCGCTCGGGTTCCTCTCTGCCACCCACGAGTGGGGCGATGGTTGGATATTTATCTTGAACTTTATAGCCGCTTCGCTGAGAGTTGGAGGGTTGGGACTGGCCAAGCAATTTGGGTTCATGGTGTAGGTCTCAAGCGCTGCCATTTGGTCCTCCAAGATGTAAGGGCAGGTCAAAACGATGACGATTGCGGCGCAGGAGCTTTGCCCTTGATGGCGCATCCGCTTTAGGCCCTCACGCAGGGGGAGAACTATATAACAAACCAATACAAAACATAATTCTAATGATGTATCTAGTGATGTACCTCTCTCCCTCTCTATATTATATTAAAAACACACATGTAATTATGTATACAACTTATTTTGATGTTTGATAATTCCAAGAACAAGGCTCTCAGCTTGCAGATGCTGTGAGGTTTCCGCCAGAAACGCATCGCTGAACGCGTCATCGATGCCCCGAGTCGATCTGGAGGCCTTGCTGCCGTTGGCGAAGCTCTTAGGGGATGCCACCGAGGAGGGATGCCACTGGGACACCCGGACGACCTGGGATTGGGCGGAAGACATACAACTGCCAGACAGGGCGGGGACCCTTGGATGGAATGAGAATACAACTGCCATACAACATGTTATATATATATATATAACCAGATGGTACCCTGGCAGCTCCTGGCCAAGAGAAGTTCTGGAGATTTCTTGCCCCCTTTGCTCTAGGGCGGTGGCGAGCTCCACATATTTTTATGATCCACTTTCGTGGAAAGCTCACAAGAACCCCGGATGACAAATCTTCTGTGGGTCCGTGCTAGCTGCTAACTAGCGGCTGCAGGTGAGTGCTCATGTGACTCATGTTCTGCCTTGTGGATGCTGCTGGGAGTGCAAGCCTTTTTAATGAAGCTGCTTACAACTACTTGGTTGCATTGGGTTGCTACGCTTACCGGGAGGGGAATCATCATGCCGGATGTATTGAACAAGTTGGCCCCCCCAAAACCGACAATCCAATCTGACCTTTGATCGTTTCTATCGTCCCAAAAATCCTCCACTGTTCTGTTGGCGCATCACTATGTTGAGAAAGGATCCTCCACTACACTGCTGAAAAGGATGGCATACCATGTTCTCTCCCACTACCTGCAGGGTTTGTAAATATGCTGTTTTTCTTCCATTTCAGAGCCCCAATGATCTTCAGGAGCTTGCGGTGGCCATCAAGAACGATGCAGTAGCGGCTCAGAGGTGAACTCTCAAAGGGGCAAAGCTTCACACACACGGTAAGAGAAACGCTCTTGTGAGCGATGTTCAGGGTGGTGTTCTGTGGGCACACTATGCACAAGTTCCTCCAGCAAACCTTTCAGAACGCTGACCATTTTCAATGGCCATTTTCCTCTACAAACAGGTGGTTTTCAACTTCCATGATTCCCCAGTGAGCCAGTGAGCGTGAGCTATTGGGGTTCCTACGTCAAGTATAAGAAGAGCTGCATGTGTGTGTTTTTGAGCCTGGGTGCTCGTGCCGCTGCAGGATGCCGCTGCTGTGTGAGCTTGGGGGCTTGGGTGCAGGGTGCTGCTGCAGGGTGCGCTTGGGTGGTGGTGCCGCTGCAGGGTGCCACCACCTTGCTGCTGCAGTGTGCCTCTGCAGCTGCCGCACGGTGATTGGGCCGTCCGGCCCCCCAAAAAACTATGTACAACATATAACATATATCATCATATATCATTCTCCGTTCACGATCCCAATCCGACGTGCCCGGTTTGTCTTTTCAGACCTCTGACGTGGGGCGGGGTTTGAGGCTGGGATGCTGAACGCCACCTTTGGCAACATCGTTGAGATGATGATCACGCTCAACACGCTGCGATCCAAGAAGTGGCCTGGACGGACAGACACCTACCTTGCTTCCTTTTGCAGAAGCATGTTGTAGGTGTTCATGTTGGTTTGCTATGGTCTATGGCATGGATTTACGGATTTGGTTGGGCATGTCCGGCGAACGGCCATGTGTTGGGACAGTATCCCAGTGTAATCCAGCCAGAGATTGCAGGAAACTAATTTTGGAGCATAGGGTCAAGGAGAACAATTTTTCAGAAATTTATTGATTGGGTGTTTTCATGATTTTTCAGGTGTTTTCATTATTCCCCAAACAGTTTACTGTTAGGGGTTCTCAATGCTTTAAAGAATAGTCGCCTTGGTGCTGGATGGTCTGGTCGGGTTCGCAGGTGGCTTGTCTCCCACGTCCTTTCAATTGTCTCCCACTTCTTTTCATTTGTCTCCCAGGCTGGGTGCTTGTGGTCGGGTTCCCGGCCGGCTTGTCTCCC